GAGGAGCCAATGGCGTGAATGGAGTCAATGGCTTGAGAGGAGCCAGTGGCATGAGAGGAGCCAATGGAGTCTGTGGCTTGAGAGGAGCTGATGGCGTGAATGGAGTCAATGGCTTGAGAGGAGCCAATGGCATGAGAGGAGCCAATGGAGTCAATGGTTTGAGAGGAGCCAATGGCATGAGAGGAGCCAATGGAGTCAAAGGCTTGAGAGGAGCCAGTGGCATGAGAGGAGCCAATGGAGTCAATGGCTTGAGAGGAGCCAATGGCGTGAATGGAGTCAATGGTATCAGAGGAGGAACTGCCGACAGTAAAGGAGCCACTGGTGGAAGCAGAGGAACGATTGACAGAGGATCCACTGCTGGCAGTAGAGGAGCCACTGGCAGTAGAGGAGCCACTACTGGCAGTAGAGAAGCCACTACTGGCAGTAGAGGAGCCACTACTGGCAGTAGAGGAGCCACTACTGGCAGTAGAGGAGCCACTGGCAGTAGTGGAACTGCCTGCAGTAGAGGAGCCAGTGTTAGCAGAGGAACGGCTGGCAGAGGAGCCAGTGTTGGAGGAGAGATCACCAGCAGTGAATCCTGTGGTGCCAGATGAGCCAGTGATGGAAGAGAGACCACCAGCAGTGAATACTGTGGTGCCAGATGAGCCAGTGTTGGAGAAGAGATCACCAGCAGTGAATCCTGTGGTGCCAGATGGGCAGTGATGGAGGAGACCACAGCAGTGAATACTGTGGTGCAGATGAGCCGGTGGAGAAAGAGATCACCAGCAGTGAATCCTGTGGTGCCAGATGAGCCAGTGATGGAGGAGAGACCACCAGCAGTGAATACTGAGGTGCCAGATGAGCCAGTGTTGGAGGAGAGATCACCAGCAGTGAATCCTGTGGTGCCAGATGAGCCAGTGATGGAAGAGAGATCACCAGCAGTGAATCCTGTGGTGCCAGATGAGCCAGTGATGGAGGAGAGACCACCAGCAGTGAATACTGAGGTGCCAGATGAGCCAGTGTTGGAGGAGAGACCACCAGCAGTGAATACTGTGGTGCCAGATGAGCCAGTGTTGGAGAAGAGATCACCAGCAGTGAATCCTGTGGTGCCAGATGAGCCAATGTCAGAGAATTTGTCAATAGAGAAACCAGTGCCAGAAGCAAGGTCGATGGCATGAGAGGAGCCAATGGCGTCAATGGCTTGAGAGGAGTCAATGGCATGAGAGGAGCCAATGGCATGAGAGGATCTGATGGCATCAGAGGAGGAACTGCCGACAGTAAAGGAGCCACTGGTGGAAGCAGAGGAACGATTGACAGAGGATCCACTGCTGGCAGTAGAGGAGCCACTGGCAGTAGTGGAACTGCCTGCAGTAGAGGAGCCAGTGTTAGCAGAGGAACGATTGACAGAGGATCCACTGCTGGCAGTAGAGGAGCCACTGGCAGTAGTGGAACTGCCTGCAGTAGAGGAGCCAGTGTTAGCAGATGAGCCGATGTCAGAGAATTTGTCAATAATGAAACCAGTGCCAGAAGCAAGGTCGATGGCATGAGAGGAGCCAATGGAGTCAATGGCTTGAGAGGAGCCAATGGCATGAGAGGAGCCAGTGGCATGAGAGGAGCCAATGGCATGAGAGGAGCCAGTGGCATGAGAGGAGCCAATGGCATGAGAGGAGCCAGTGGCATGAGAGGAGCCAATGGCATGAGAGGAGCCAGTGGCATGAGAGGAGCCAATGGCATGAGAGGAGCCAGTGGCATGAGAGGAGCTAATGGTATGAGAGGGAGCTAGTGGTATGAGAGGAGCTAATGGATGAGAGGAGCTAGTGGTATGAGAGGAGCACAGAGAGGAGCAGTGGCATGGGAGAGGAGCTAATGGTATGAGAGAGGAGCTAGTGGCATGAGAGGAGCTAATGGACTTCAATGGTATGAGAGGAGCTAATGGTATGAGAGGAGCTAGTGGTATGAGAGGAGCTAATGGTATGAGAGGAGCTAGTAGTATGAGAGGAGCTAATGGACTCCACGTAGTATGAGAGGAGCCATGGAGTCAATGGCTTGAGAGGAGCCACGGCGTGAATGGGAGTCAATGGCTTGAGGCCAGTGGCATGAGGAGCAATGGAGCTGGCACAGAGGAGCTACGGAGAGCTGGGCATGAGAGGAGCTAATGGTATGAGAGAGCAGTGGTGGCATGAGAGAGCTAATGGTATGAGAGGAGCTAGTGGAGAGGAGCTACGGTATGAGAGTAGTGGTATGGGAGAGGAGCACAAGGAGAGGAGCTAGTGGGTAAGGAGAGGAGCTACGGGACTTAATGGTATGAGAGGAGCTAATGGAGTCAATGGTTTGAGAGGAGCTAATGGCGTGAATGGAGTCAATGGCTTGAGAGGAGCCAGTGGCATGAGAGGAGCCAATGGAGTCAATGGCATGAGAGGAGCCAATGGCGTGAATGGAGTCAATGGCTTGAGAGGAGCCAGTGGCATGAGAGGAGCCAATGGAGTCTGTGGCTTGAGAGGAGCTGATGGCGTGAATGGAGTCAATGGCTTGAGAGGAGCCAATGGCATGAGAGGAGCCAATGGAGTCAATGGTTTGAGAGGAGCCAATGGCATGAGAGGAGCCAATGGAGTCAAAGGCTTGAGAGGAGCCAGTGGCATGAGAGGAGCCAATGGAGTCAATGGCTTGAGAGGAGCCAATGGCGTGAATGGAGTCAATGGTATCAGAGGAGGAACTGCCGACAGTAAAGGAGCCACTGGTGGAAGCAGAGGAACGATTGACAGAGGATCCACTGCTGGCAGTAGAGGAGCCACTGGCAGTAGAGGAGCCACTACTGGCAGTAGAGAAGCCACTACTGGCAGTAGAGGAGCCACTACTGGCAGTAGAGGAGCCACTACTGGCAGTAGAGGAGCCACTGGCAGTAGTGGAACTGCCTGCAGTAGAGGAGCCAGTGTTAGCAGAGGAACGGCTGGCAGAGGAGCCAGTGTTGGAGGAGAGATCACCAGCAGTGAATCCTGTGGTGCCAGATGAGCCAGTGATGGAAGAGAGACCACCAGCAGTGAATACTGTGGTGCCAGATGAGCCAGTGTTGGAGAAGAGATCACCAGCAGTGAATCCTGTGGTGCCAGATGAGCCAGTGTTGGAGAAGAGATCACCAGCAGTGAATTCTGTGGTGCCAGATGAGCCAGTGTTGGAGAAGAGATCACCAGCAGTGAATCCTGTGGTGCCAGATGAGCCAGTGTTGGAGAAGAGATCACCAGCAGTGAATACTGTGGTGCCAGATGAGCCAGTGTTGGAGAAGAGATCACCAGCAGTGAATCCTGTGGTGCCAGATGAGCCAGTGTTGGAGAAGAGATCACCAGCAGTGAATTCTGTGGTGCCAGATGAGCCAGTGTTGGAGAAGAGATCACCAGCAGTGAATCCTGTGGTGCCAGATGAGCCAATGTCAGAGAATTTGTCAATAGAGAAACCAGTGCCAGAAGCAAGGTCGATGGCATGAGAGGAGCCAATGGCGTCAATGGCTTGAGAGGAGCCAATGGCATGAGAGGAGCCAATGGCATGAGAGGAGCCAATGGCATGAGAGGATCTGATGGCATCAGAGGAGGAACTGCCGACAGTAAAGGAGCCACTGGTGGAAGCAGAGGAACGGCTGACAGAGGATCCACTGCTGGCAGTAGAGGAGCCACTGGCAGTAGTGGAACTGCCTGCAGTAGAGAAGCCAGTGTTAGCAGAGGAACGGCTGGCAGAGGATCCACTGCTGGCAGTAGAGGAGCCACTGGCAGTAGAGGAGCCACTACTGGCAGTAGAGGAGCCACTACTGGCAGTAGAGGAGCCACTGCTGGAAGCAATGGATCCACTGCTGGCAGAAATGAAGCCACTGCTGGCAGCAATGGAGCCACTGCTGGCAGTGGAGGAGCGACTGGCAGTAGAGGAGCCACTGGCTGTAGAGAAGCCACTGGCTGTAGAGGAGCCACTGACACCCAAGGAGCCACTGACAGCCGAGGAACCAAATGAGGTCGATGTGCCGAATGGTGTCCTTGTCCCAGTTCTCTTAGATGAGCGACCTATTGCAAATGGATTCACAGGTTTTCCTAGCAGGGTGGCAGCAAAATTTCCTGTATTTTGAAGATTAATTATTGGTTGTGGCAGATGCTGTCTGAAGGGTGATATGATGGTCTGAGTGGAGGGTACTTGTGTTTGCACTTGCGACCCTCTATTTACTGAACTTACCCTGGATGTAGTACCTGTTGATTGTTGTGCCAGAACATTTTGTGTGACTCCCGACGTTCTGCTCAGTGCCACAGTCCTACTCTGTGCTGCAGCATTACTTAATGATGCAGCATTACTTTGTGCCACAGCATTACTGAGTGTCCCAGTGCTACTTAGTGCTGCAGCATTACTTTCTGCCACAGCATTACTTTGTGCCACAGCATTACTGAGTGTCCCAGTGCTACTTAGTGCTGCAGTATTACTTTGTGCCACAGCATTACTTTGTGTCACAGCATTACTGAGTGCTGCAACATTACTGAGTGCTGCAGCATTACTTTGTGTCACAACATTACTTTGTGCTGCAGTATTACTTTGTGCCACAGCATTACTTTGTGCTGCAGTATTACTTTGTGCCACAACATTACTTTGTGCTGCAGTATTACTTTGTGCCACAGCATTACTTTGTGCTGCAGTATTACTTTGTGCCACAACATTACTTTGTGCTGCAGTATTACTTTGTGCCACAGCATTACTTTGTGCTACAGCATTACTGAGTGCTGCAACATTACTGAGTGCTGCAGCATTACTTTGTGTCACAACATTACTTTGTGCTGCAGTATTACTTTGTGCCACAGCATTACTTTGTGCTACAGCATTACTGTGTGCTGCAACATTACTGAGTGCTGCAGCATTACTTTGTGCCACAACATTACTTTGTGCTGCAGTATTACTTTGTGCAGCAGCATTACTTTTTGCCACAACATTACTTTGTGCAGCAGTATTACTTTGTGCAGCAGCATTACTTCGTGCTTCCGCATTTGAGGCAGAATCTCCATTTTGAAAGACAGGCGTGCCAACTGCAGCGAAGTTTGCCAAGGTTCCTGGGACAAGTAGTGACTGGAGATGACCAGCTGGTACCTGACTCAACCTTTCCCTATTTTCAACTTGCTTGGTTTCAGCTTTGGATGTAGATTCTACATTTGTAAAAGTCCCACTATCTGTATTGGCATTAAATGTTGCTGATTTAATTGGGAATGTGTTTGTCAAAGTATTTTGGTTTATTGAAATTGCACCAAATCGATTAACAGATGAACTTGAGCCAGAATCAGATGGGGCAACTCCAATTAAGGCCTCGGGAATTGGGAGAACTTGTGCGCTAATTCCTGCAGGAGGGAGAGTAGCCGAGCTCGAGTCTTGTGGTGACCCTTGCAATTGAGCTTCTTGAGTAATGATGTTTTGTTTGTTATCCTTCACTGAATGTGTCTGGAAACGTGACGTCCCCTTGCTGTCTCTATTGCCGATGGACCCAGTTAACAAGAAGTGGTCTTTGTTCACTGCACCAGGGATAAACACAGTATCGCCAGGAACGATCTGTAATTTACTTCCTGGGGTTAAGTTCGATGTAATGAACCTATTACCAAAAAACTGACCATGGCCATGTACTTCATTTCCACGTTGGTTTTCTCTTTGAAAAACATTGTTTGCACTACCTGAGGCCTTCAAATTGTTTGAACGTACTGTATGAAATTGATTAGACTGTGGAACCACTAATCTATGCAGCAATGACCTGGGTTGTTCAAAGTTTATGATGGGCGTCCGTACAGCTCCTATTTTGTGTATGCTCTCGGGATCAGGCACAGCTATAAAATGAAATTGATCGAAGTTGAAGTCTCTTGGCGCATTACCTCCAAGGTTCTGAAATTTAAAGGGCAAGTTAGTCATCTGGTTTGCAACGCTCGAGTGAACAGACTACAAGGTATATGTTTGGTTAGATTATTTGGGTAAACAAATTTAATTACGTTAAAAAAGGTTAGGTTAAATTAGGTTCAGCTAGGTTAGTTAGGGTGAATTTAATTGTGACTTGAGTTAAAGTGCAATTTTCCATGACAATTGACTTACCTGTACTAAATGGTGATGTTGAGCTGCCACCAGTGCAGCCCACAGCAACAACGCCACCCACAACAACCAAGTCTGTGAGATAGAAACAATAATTACAGTATATCACGTTCACCAGGAGAGAGGGAAATGTGGAAGGAATATCATGGTAAAAACGAACATGAGAAAGGTAGAAAGACAATGATCGAAAGAGTTATACGCATGACACCTTGAGAGCGAAAAGCAAACACCTTGATCAGGTGTTAGCGTGTGCAGTGCCTGAATAACTAACAACCAATCAGCGAGTTTCTCCAATGGGTAAATACGCGGATCATGGCTGCTTATGGAGAATATTTTGATTAATATTGAATAGTTGGGGGCATGTAAGGCAATAAAAAACTGTGATATAATAATAAAATAATAATAGGATCTAAAAAAAATTGTACGGCATGAAAGAATTGAAAAGGATCGTGCCCAGTTGATTTTCGCACCGAGTTGAAACTTGTTATGGCTCCACCCTCTTATAAGTGGGTGTTGTCCGATTTCATTTGCCATTGGTGACTTTGGTGTAACTATATTGATAATTACTCAAACATGATTGAAACTTTAATATCATTACTCATAAGATACTTTAAATAAGGGTGAACAAGCTGATTACAGTTCTGTAAGTACAAAAATTAAGACTTAAATAAGCGAACACCTAGCCGCGAGAGACAACATACATAGTGTAGTTTGAGAGTCCTGGAGAAATTACCTTTACAACGGGCCTAATTTTTGGTGCTATTCTTATTTATTGTTGACTGACTTTTCCTTTTTTGTCTTTCTTTCCATAAGTTTCTATATATATTTTCTTCACTCTTTCTTTCAGTATTGTGTCCAAATAACAGTTTTCTAATTTTATTGTTTTCTGAAGACTGTGTTGTACAACAGTTATTCCCAAGATGTGGTACTGTCATATTTTTTAATGACAGTCCAGGAAGGCCAACGCCCCTCTACAAAAAACGCCTTACTAAGGGTGGTGCAACCCAAAGAAAATTCTGATTAATTACCTAATTTACCTAATGATCTCTTAATAGAAGTGGTCATACCGAGGGAAGGAGGCTACTGTAGCACTATATTCCTCCATTGTTTTTCATAATTTTATTTGGGGCTGTTTTGAAGCTCAATACTGTTCTTGATTACATAGTTTGAGCTAGTTGATTTATTCTATAGGTCTACCAACTTCTGTGTGAATAAGTATTTCCTTATGTTCGTTCTGCATTATAACTTGGCGAGCTTGTAGGTATGTCCCCTCATGTTGGTGGTGCGGGACATCACAAAAATTGGCCCTGGTTCACGTTTCCCATCACTTCTAAGACTTTGAATGTCTCCAAGATCTGCCCTATTGTGTATTGTCTGAAGGGTTGTTAGTTCTATGGCCCTCCGTCTATTTGGTTAACCGGAATGATTTAATTCCAGAATTGTTATTCTAAATCAATGTCATTTATAAATTTTTTGCTTGGATTAGCCCATCCGGGCACAGGTTACTGGCCCACATCAGGGCCTGTGGGGCAAAAATGTAATAGTGATAATAATAATAATTAATAAAAATTATAATAAAATAATAATATAAATTATAATAATAATAATAATAGTAATAATAATAATAATAATAATAATAATAATAATAATCACCATAAATAAATACAAAAATGAAAAGAAAAATAAATCGAGTGAGAAAAGATATTACTGTATACAGTATGTACATTGTACAGTATGTTGTCAACAGTAAGCGAACCAATTGAGATCCTGCAATTGTGTGTAAACGAGGCAGAAAGTCAGATCAGCAACCTGGGATTTGGTCACAATTTTTGTGATGCTTTTATTTTATTTTATTTTATTTTATTTTATTTATTTATTTATTTTTTTACGCTGGATTAGCCCACCAGGGCACGGGTCAATGACCCACATCAGGGCTTGGGGATGAAAAAAAAACTACTATTACTACTACTAATAATAATAAATACAAATTATTAAAAAATATTATTTAAAGAAAAATATAGTATAATATATAATATAATAATAATAATAGTAGGCCTAATAATAATAAATATTTTTTTTATACATATAATATATAATATAATAATGACAAAGGACCATAAATAAAAAAAAATAATAAAAATAAATGTGAGAAACGATATACTATATGTATGTATGTTGTGTTGTAAAAGTAAGAGAAATAATTGAAACCCTGAAATTGTGTGTAAATGAGGCAGAAATTTAGGTCAGCAACCTGGGACTTGGTCACAATTTTTGTAATGCCACTTGGCAGCAGGGTCTACCATTAGACAATACATTATGCTTCCAATATCTTTCCAGGCAGACGCTACAGTACCTCCCTGTTTGATAGCTGCCTACTACCTACGTAAAGGCAAGAAAATAATGTTTGCCCGGATCAGGAACAATGTGGAGAGTCACCACTGGTGACCTTTCACTGATAAGAAAATCTCTTACATTATACTCAACAGACATAAAAATTACGCATCGAGTTTTTCAGGTAAAAAAACAAATAAATAAAATAATATAGCTCACTTGTTGCCACTACATACTCTATAGTTACAATCAGTAGTTTTGACAATTCTAAGACACCTTTCTTCAATGGTATATCTGGCGCTAATTACGTACAGTATAAGCAAAATATTTAAAATTTTATTATGTATGAAACTTAACCTTTCACTTGTTGCCACAAAACGAATCTCGAGAATTTTATAGTTGCAATCGGTAATTTTGACAATTCTGACACTTTTCTTCAATGGCATTTCTGGTGCAAATAACGTTTAAGCGAGGTACTTAATATCTTATTATGTTTGTTAGCACATGGTGATTAGGGTTGCCATATCTGAACACTAAAATAAGAGGACGCTCCCAAAGACATCCCCCCCCCCCTGCCCGGCACACACAGGCTAATATACAACATACATGGTATAGAAATCTTAAAAAAAAAATTACCTTTGCTTAAGGCTGAACATCTTCATTCCCTTAGCTGCAGTCTTCTTCCCCCACTGTGTGTGTGACTTGATGTGCCCATGCATACTTTTCTGTAGATCGGATCTATTTCAGTATTGGCTGATTGCTCTTTAGAAAGGTATAGAAGTCACTGCAAGGTGTTTCTCGGAAGTTGTACTGTACAGTCAGAATGCCTTTCATTGTTTCAACACTCAATTTGTTCCTTTCCTTTGTCCATTGAGTTTGCATCAGTGAAAAAACTCTTTCTACATTTGCATTGCGAGATGATATAACAAAGAAGAATTGTGCAATTCTTAGCAATTCTGAGTGGCATTCAGTGTTCTTTGATTTTTCAAAGTATCTGGTCCACTTTTTATGTGTTGGCAGATTACTAAATTCTTCATCACTTGTAATTTTCCACAAACTGCTTCAGGTTACTAACTTGGTCAAAACACTTCATCAACTTCTACCCCCTTATCAATCAAATATTTGACAGCTAAGTTGACAACACCGTACAGGCGTACACGTGACTTATCAGCTGACGAAAACTGAACGAGATCTCTACGGTTTCCACCTCCCCCCCTCCCCTCTCTCTCTCTCTCTCTCGTCATTACAGTTTCATGTTTTTATTTTTTCCGTGGAGAAAATGATGGAAGCTGAAATTCCGGACTTATGAAGAATTTTAAAAATTCCTTTCGGATGAAGATTTCGAGACCTAAATGGAGGACATGTCCGGGAAAATACGGACGTATGGCAACCCTAATGGTGATATGGTGATACGCTGAGAACATCGAGTGACGTAGCCGTACACACGCTAAACATCGAACGACTGTAGAGCTCCCCAGTTAGGTTAGGTTTGGTTGGTTAGGGTTTTGTTTTCCGACGGTTTTCGATGTGTTTTGAAGAAAAATATTACCTTGATTTTATAGCAAATCTCTAGATTCTGAGATGGGAGGGGTCGGAGCTAATCTCAGAAACTTGATTTGTGCCAGAAGTTTCAACTTCGATTTCGTATAGTGGCAACAAGTGAAATTTTACCCCCAAAATACTATACATTTCATCAACTCTTTCCATGTTTGTCTTTCATGCGTTAGAAGGCGAGAGAAGTGTCCAGATTCCGAGGTTATCATAGTTTGCTAAAAACACCAAGCAGCGCGGTGCCACTTTGAAGTGTTGCGGTCGAAATACCGTTGATTTTATTTGTATGCAACGAAGATCACAGTACATTACTAGAAAAACTGCACCCAATAAATTGTAACAAATTAATAAAATAACAGAAGAAAAAAGTAAATAGTGAAATAGATAAATAAAAGGTGTAGGTAACCAACATGATATATTGTTATTTTTCATGTTTACCGCCTAATGGCGAAAAGATTCCAAACAAACAACCGCCCCGCAGAGGATGAGGGCATTAAGCGCGCAACAAGGTTAGTAATTACACTGTTATACTGTATCAACAATTAAAAATTATGAGAGATACACAGTGTGTAAACGAGGAATCGGCAGTTCAGTAATTGTGGTGCTGGAGGCGGTCGACAAATTCTTAGGTAATGTAGAGCAAAGTTGTTTCGCCGAGTCATGCGTCGACCTGTTTATATTATCAAAAGTAGTTAAAGGTTAGTAGATGTGTTACAGTTTCACTTTAGATGGGATTGTCAAGGTCTAATATGTTTATTGTAAACTATACAGTATACTGAAGCTGCCACAGACTACATAGTTTTTAACTTTGTTGATGGAATATTTCATTTAATTACAGGGAATCGTCACCAAAAAGCCTTCATCAGTTGTAATAAATATTGTAGAAATTATTTAGAAAAAATTCCACGGAATGTCTGGTCTCGAAAGAGCTCGGGGCAACTTATTTTTTCAACTTTCAGAAAATCCTCCACCTTTTTTATTATGCACCGTCACACAAGCGTTTAGAACCAGCTCGCAGTTTCCCTCGTTCGACAACTGTCAGTGATTCCAGAGACAGTGGCGCTTCCTTATGTGGTCCACCAAGAACTCCTTGGAGAGGTGTGTCCATACTTGGGAAATTATTTTTGGCTACATTTTTTTTTTAAAAAATAAGAAAATGACGGAGTCAACTTGGCTCCGTCATGTTGTTATTC